GGGGAAAAGTTGAATTTATGTTAAAGCATGCAAATGTCTGGAAAAGCAAACTAACATGGGCTCCTGATGTCAGCTACAGTAAAACATTATTAAACTCTTGATCGACTGATCCACACTAAACTACTATTTTTACAATCATGCTCCCAAATCTGCAGTAAAACAGCCGTCACTCGACAGTATTACAGCAGCAGCAGCGCTTTTAAAGAAAACACGACTTGAGGACAAACTGGCTGAATACACTGTACCTGAAGTCACAGCCGATGAAGGTATTGTCAGTCACACCGGGTCCGAGGAGCTCATTAAAATGCAGCCATTGTGTCTGATGCAAATACACCCACCACCCACCACCCTCCACCCCAGCACTCCCCTGTCCATGCACATGTTAAATGAGGCTGTGGGGGTGAGCGAGGAGATCTGTGAGTTTTTAGCGCTGCATGTGAGGAACAAAATAACGAGCTTCAAGCACAACAATCCTGATCCAGGAGGATTTGCTGACCTGAAAACAGCCACAGTTATGAATCATTCTGCAGAGTCAGGCTGCAGTCACTTGTGTTACAGGGGATCATTAATCTGTGCTGGTTACTGCACCCTGACCTGGGTTTCTTGAGTTTAGCCTTTAAAGCAAATTAAGTAGCCGGTAAAACCTGGGGAGAAGTGCTGCCTTCGAGACATCCTCGGGGAACAAATGTCCCTCTTCTTCACACAAATACAAAAAGTGAGCAATGCATCAAAGCACTTTGAAGAAAATGTCAGCAGCAAGTCCTCCAGATGTGTCTTCATTCAGAAAGTGTAGGTGTCAGCGCTGAACTCTATCACTGGACTCGTCTGTCAACATTTTCCTGTTGCACCTGGAACTGAGTTTTATGCTCTTGTGTGTAAATCCATTAGCATGCATTACAATTTAACTCATCACATCCTTGTATGCAAAGCTGCAAGATTTCCTCTGAACTGTTGAAGCATAATGTTGGTCTGATTGGGAATATTCAAGTAAATCACAAGAACCTCTAAAGGACGGTACACATGCAGTCAGTAACGTCACTCCACATTGTAATACTTGCAGTCAAACACAGAGTTATGCAGATTACACTGTAAAAAAAATAGAACTAATTTATTTAATTTTTTTCAACTTACAGTTGTTGTTTTTTTTAACAGATATCTCTATTTTGTGGAATTATGCATAAGATCAAGACTAATTATTTTTTATGACTACGACTGTTTATTTTTATATATTTAACACAAATTCTAACACGTTTGCAGTATGTTTCCTGCTATGAATCCAGTGATAAGCAGAAAGCTTTCAATAGATGCTTGTCATTTGAAGATGTTTAAGTGGCATTTATTTTTCATTAAATGCTGTAAAATGTTGATTACTCAATCCAAAGAGTCTTTTTTTGAAGTGTCAAATGAGTGTCAGTATAAATGGGAAAAGGAAAGATTTAAACTGTAATATCAAGAAAAATGACACCTAATTACAGAAAATTCTGGCTGTTGTGTATTCTTTTAAAAATATTGAAATAATATTCCAAACCTTCGTGCTGATGTAGAGATTTCTTGCTGTGTTGCAGTAGTTATCTCATCATATAGTGTCATTTTCATTGTATTGATTAAAAGAAAAAAAGCTTCAGCACCACATTTGGAGTCCCTCAAGGCTCTGTTATCGGCCCCTTTGTATTTTCTATCTAAATGCAACAATTTGGTCTGTTATTTATCATTTGAATCTCTTTTTACATTCATATAGAAAACGCCTTACTTTTTCTTACATAAGGTTTTGTTTTTCCAAGTGATTGCTTCACTCTGATCACTTTTTATTGCCATTTTTTTTTACTGATGTGAAAACTGCTGGCAGTAAATTATATGTCCCATAACTCAGATTCTGGATACCTCCAGTCTCTGTTCTGTTCTTTATTTTCAATCTATCAACTGTCATTGATCCTTCAAATTACCTTGTTCTAGTGTATTTGTGTATATTTTTATTTATGTACAGACTTTCAGCTGGACTCTTCTTTCAGATTTCCTCTCCTCTCGTGTTTTGTAACCGACCATCTTGTTTTATGTCTTCGTCTTTTCTATCTGTGCTGCTATTTTTTATAAAGCTTGATTTGTGTTTTTTGACTGAATGACAAACCTACAACATGCAACGCAACAATCACACAAATGTATAAAAGCCACACCTACTATAACAATCCCCCCGTCTTAGATGTAAATACATTTTCAGTCACTTATCTGCTGATTTTCCTCGTCCAGCCAGGACAAGACACAGAACACCCAGCAGCCAATTAGAATGCAGCTGCTCCGTTGTCATGGTATCCACACATATAATTGATTAGTAATAACGTTTCCTGCCTTCCTGTTTCCACCTGAAGAGTTCTCACCTCGGCAGCAGCAGCTCGACCTTTGACCTGTGATGGCTCCCACAACAACAGCCACATTCCTGAGTAACGGCTCAGCTCATCTATGTGAATGGACACACACACACACACACACACACACAGAAACTCAGCGTAATCAATAGTCACATTAACAGGAGTGATTGTCTCAGCAGCTGCAGTTTGTTTTCACATGTAAAAATCTCATTTTACTGCCAGAGAATCAGCAGATCTGCAGAACAAGCGTCCAACCAAACTTAGTGCAAATTTTAAATGAATTTACAGGAAACCAGAAGAGTCTGTTCACGTAATGAAGTATTTAATGTTAATAAGCTTTAAAGTAGTGGAGGACAGGCTTAATAAAATAATGCAATATCAATTATAAGCATACATACTTTATTTGTGAATATATTGAACTGAAGGTTCTTAGTATTTCTTATCAACTACCATTTTTACATATTTGTAACCTATGAGTTGCTTATATTTGTGAGACTAGTTTAGTTTGAGCTCATGAGCAACTTCTTTACTTGGATACAAACCTTAGACAACCTGCCGGCCTTTAGCGGCTGTACGATGCAACTTCTGTCCTGTTTTTGTTCAAAACTGAATTCCTTCATCGATCAGAAGTTACACGAGGCGTTTCTCATTTGTGTGGGTGGATTTTCTTTTCCACAGTTCTGTGTTCAGCGTAATCTTCCCTCACTGTGGTTCCCTGTGGAGAAGCAACAACAAAACAAAATTGGTTTTTACACGGAACGACTTCAAATTTGAAGGAAAATCATCTTGATTCAACTAAGACGTGTCATGCCTCATGCTCTTGGAACGAGGACTGAGAACAGAGAGTTGTTGTCTTTACATTAGTGGCTCTGCAGAATCAAACAGAAGCTCCTCATTCATTTAAATCACAGAACTATTTTAGTGTCACAGTCGGTAGGTGTGTCCAGGCCAAAGGAAGGTTTGCTTACTGTTGTGCTTGCAGACGTTTGAACTGTGGTGTGTTCACTTGCTGAGTTTTAAATCGTGACGCGTTCACTTACTGTTGTCTGTCCTGATGTTTGAACGGTGATGCGTTTAGTTACTGTTATGTGCCGACGTTTGAACAGTGACGTGTTAACTTATGTTGTGTACGCTGGGGTTTAAACTGTGATGCGTTGGTGCTGCTTTCTCTTGCTGTTGTTTAAATTGTGATGTGCTCACTGCTGGGAACTGTGGGTGCGTTCACGTACTGTTTTATGTGGGGACATTTAAATGGTGATATGTTCACTTACTGTTGTTTAAACTGTGATGCGTTCACCTCCAGTGTTTTATAGGTCACATCAGCTTGTCTGCCATCTGCAAATGTGACAATGAATTGATTAATTGATCTTGTGTTTTTTTAAAGAGCTAATCAATGAAAATGTCAAACCCTGTCCATGGAGTCACTCTGCAGGACGTCTCAAAGCAGGTATATCTACTATGGATGTTTCTACAACAGTCATACGCAAGAAAATCCACACAAAATTATCTAAGTCTAACATTTAGAACTTTACATATTGCTAAATGTCAAAGTCTGGGATGAATATTGATGCTATCTGATTGGCAGCAGCAAACAGATGCAGTGAGTTCATTAAGTGGAGTCCACAGCCTGGCCTCCGTCTGTGGACGCCCTCTGTTGGCTGAGTGCCACGCAGGCTTTGGCAGGAACCAGCCTGATCCTTATCAGGACCTCCGGGATGTCTGATGAGACCAAACAAGCATATGCTGGGAGAAAACACAGCAGTTTAGTGCAGAAACTCTAAAAATCCCCTTGTAAACTCCTGGAACCTCCTCAAGGACTCTCTGCTTTCCTCGAAAAACATCTCAGTCCTCTTCAAGGATTCCTGGAACACCCTGGAAAACACTCAGCAGCTCCTTGAGCACTGGCAGAGCCACTTCATTTCCTGTTGAGGGACCAAGGACCTCTTAAACATCCTTGAAAACACCTCAGACTCACTTGGAATCTGCTGCTACTTCCAGAACTGTCCATTTTGGTCAGTTTGTTCTGTTTTATCCTTAAACAGCCTCTACAGCATGAAAGGTTTTATATTGCATGGAGCATTAGTCCCATTATTCCTACTTTCCCGCATTTAGGAGTTCCATTTTATGCATATAGTGTACATGAGAATGAAAATATGTGAATATTAACATCTCAGTCCTGAAGTCTACACAGGCTGAATTTGCATGGAAAGTGTGGCAGACACCGATTGAAAAACACGCCTAGTGAGGGAAATCTCCTGCCTAAACATGTTTACTTTGATCCCAAGGCTTTGTAAATATTGATCTTGTGATTTAGTGCCTCTAAACACCAATAAAATCCCGTTAAATATCGATTACTTTCACTGTAATGATTTATCAATTGAAATTGAATTGAGGTAACGGCCAGACGCCGGTGGGCGGAAACCGGGGAGGGCTCTGGAGCTCTGATAGGCTGAGAGCGCTGTGGAGGCGGGACAGGGTTCAAGAAGGAGAGCGTTGATTGGTGGAGGCTAGTATCGTCGTGCGCATGATCAGCCGGTTAATAGGACGCCGGTTTGGGGGTTCAAACAGAGCGAGAGATGCTGTGAGGCTGAGCGGAGCTCCGCAGCTGGAGACCAGACACACAGGAACCAGTGAGGAAAAGCAGCCAGTGTCTGCGGTGGATCGTCGCAGCCCGCCGCGGTTAGTTTGAAGCATTAATCGGGACCATGGTTCAGCACACGGAGCATGCCGGGACGGGCATTACCACCGTGTCCCGCGACGCGCCTGACCCGGAGGAGAGCGAGCTGCTGGCGGCCTCGGCGTGTAGCCCCGTGCCGCTGAAGCCGGACTGGTGCAAAACAGCGACCGGCCACATTAAACGGCCCATGAACGCGTTCATGGTGTGGTCCAAGATCGAGAGGAGGAAGATCATGGAGCAGTCCCCGGACATGCACAACGCGGAGATCTCCAAGCGGCTCGGGAAGCGGTGGAAAATGTTAAAAGACACCGAAAAGATCCCGTTTATCCGGGAGGCGGAGCGGCTCCGGCTCCAGCACATGGCGGACTACCCGGACTACAAGTACCGGCCCAAGAAGAAACCCAAGACGGACGGGTGTGCGTTTCAGGCGGGGAAGCCAGCCGCTCCGTCCCCCGAGAAAAGCAGCGTCAGGCCGGTTAATAAGAACCCTGCTGCCGCCAAGAAATTCTCCAAGTTGAAGCCAAGCAAGCCGGTGGTCGGGCCCAGCAGGGCGGGCAGCCACCTCCCGCAGCACCAGCACCCCGACCCCCGGTACCGCTACGTGCTGACCACCAGCATTAAAACCAGCAAGCCGGTTAAACGAGAGTTTACCGACGACGAGGAGGAGGACGAAGACGACGACGAGGAGGACTCCGAGGAGGAGCGGGAGTTCAAAGCGGAGGAGGAGGACGTGCCGTCCTGGTACAGTCTCGCCAAAGTGCCGCCCAGCCGGAGCTCCGCCGCCGCCGCCGAGCCGGAGGGGACCAGCGTGTACGAGTCGTCCGGCCGCCTCTTCTACAGCTTCAAGAACATCACCCGGCAGGGCGCCAGCACCCCCTCCTACCCGGCCTCCCTCTCACCAGCATCCTCGTCCCGGTCCGGCTCCACCTCCTCCTCCTCCTGCTGCGGGGAGGACCTGGACGACCTCCCAGCGGAGGGGGCCGACTTCACCCTCAGCTTCCTGGGCGGCTTCCACCCCTCCTCCGAGCCGTGGAACTCGTCCTCCAGCTCGGTCCCGGGGAACCTGAGCCTGTCCCTGGTGGATAAAGACCTGGACTCGTGCAGCAGCGAGGGCAGCCTCGGCTCCCACTTCGAGTTCCCGGATTATTGCACCCCGGAGCTCAGCGAGATGATCGCCGGGGACTGGCTGGAGGCCAACTTCTCGGACCTGGTGTTCACTTATTGATCCCACGGAGGGGTTATTGATTATTATTATCATTTTTTGCATCTGCCTCGTCTGCCCCGGAGCCGGTTCTGGAGGTTCTGGCGCTCCAGGGCCAGTCAGGGACCGGGGCGGTGTGGCTGCTGCTGCTGCCCGGCCTCAGTGCTCGGGGAGGGGGGGCGGAGGGCGTCTGGTCTGGACTCGGTACTTCACATCAACAGGGTTTTATGGATTTAGTTTCTGTTGCTCGGGTCTGAACCGGGACCCGGACTATGCATTCCCACCCAGACCCACTATGAACACTACGATCAGGAGGTTTGTGTTGCTGCAGGACTCTTTTATGACTCTTCTGAGTTTCAAACACCTTTTCTCTGATTTCATGTGTTTTGGGTTTTCCAGCTCCTTAGAAACCCAAACTGAGCACAGGTATGGCAGGAAACATTTTTTGATATTTACATAACCAAACATACCTCATCTTTTTAAACTATCCAGAAATAAGAAACTATTTTCAGGCATATTTTTGTACAGTCAAAGGGAATGTCAGGCACTTGTTCTTCTTCTTCTTCCACTGTTACTCTGAATATTCTTTGTTACTGAGCATGTGAGGGTTCAAATCCCAGCCGGCCTGCCTTGCTTTAATGCCTTGCAGTTGTTTTAAAGGATGTACAGACAGACCGTTCCAGGTTCCGTTGGGAGGACTGGTCAGATCCAGGATGTATATGTTGTGTAAAATAGGTAAATGTAGGCCTTTGTGTATTTGGGTGTGAGTGAGTCCCTGACAGCAGGAGAGAAACTGGATTTTCTGTTGCTTCTTATTTTTGTATCACTTCATCAGCGGCACATGTTTGTTTTTGCTCATTATTTTTTGTGCAATATAATAAGAAAAGAGGGAAGAAAAAAAAAACACACAAAAAAACAAAATAAAGGGCCATCCAGAGTTTTTTTTGTAGCACAAGGGAAACTGCGTGAACTTGTCCTTTTTTGATGAAGTCTGTATGTGACACTGAATAAATCAGCTGGAACTGATCAGCTGCTCTGTCTGGTTATTGATCCTTGAACACACCACTGTTTCATTCTGGGCTCTGATTGGCTGCTGTGCATGTTTCATTTGACATTTTTACATCCTCACTGACACTAATGTTAAAGCACAGGGGTTGTTTGTTGGTCCATCTGGAGCTTTCAGTCATATCATGATCCTCTTGAGTAGATGGAGCTTGTACACGTTACGTTTCCACATTTTCACTGACTTACTGTTTTCAGAGCTTTAAAACCACATTAAAGGTCCGTTGAGCAGCTGTCCTGGAGCTTTCAGACATCTCACATGATCTTCATCAGCAGGTAAAGCTGTGGTGGGAAGCGTTTCTACAGATGTTTACTGAGCAGCTTCAACCCAGAGGTTCATTTCTGTTCTAAAGCTCTCACTCATCACACGGTGTCAGGTTTTAAATGTGGACATTTTACAAACACTTTTTCATTCTAGTCGGTTAAAAAGTTGAGCCTCATGTTCAGTTTACAAAACAGATGTTCATCCAGGAGCTGCTCTGCTGCTTTCACTCGTCTCACATGATCTTCATCAGTCGATAAAAGCGTGCACACATTTAATCTCCTTCAGTTTCTTGGTTTGACTGTTTTCAAAGGCAGCTTATATCGTTTTAAACAGTTTCCCCTCAAACGCTCATTCAGTGGCGACACTGGAGCTCTGAAGTAAACATTAAATTATAAAGCATTAAATAAATAAATATCAGAACTAAAGTTTAAGCACATTTTATTTCCTGGTTTCCACTTTAAACTCATCTTACGGTCTAATTATTTTATTTATGTAAGGGTTTTTTTCAGCTTTTCACTTTTTATATCCATGTTTTGACTTTTATCTTAATTTTGCTTTTTTTTCCTTCAGTTGTTCACAGCAGCTTAGACAACATAATAAGTTTTTGGAAATTAAATTTGAGCCAATTTAAAACCTTCTGAGACCTTTGAATATGTTTCCTGTAAACAGGACTGAATGCTCCTTTTTCACACCTCAAACAAAACCAGCGGCTTCCTTCACACGAAGCAGGACGAGCTGCTAATGGGCTTCACGTCAGCGTCAGACGACTCGTCCAGACGTCTGATGATAAATCAGATTACTGTGGATGTTTGCAGCCTGTAGCACCGTTCAGACTTCAGTAAACTGGGATTAAGGCAGATTTAAGACAGTAAACTGCTGATGTTTCATAAGACTCAGTGTGTGGAGGCTTCAGGAAAAACAACACAAAGGAGCTCATTATGTACTTGAGGTTTTAACCCACATTGTTTAGTTTTATCTCATACTTCAGTATTTTTAACGTATTAATCTTGACTTAACCTTAACATGCAATTTTAGCCCTTATTTGTGACTTTGTGTGGTATAATTTTGACTTTATGTCACATTTTGTACCTTTCTGAAGTCACACGTGGTACTTACTAATGTAGTTTTATTTCACTTGTTCAACTTTTTAGCTCAAGTTTTTGACTTTTACTGGTGAACAGTTTAAAAACAAGAAGAAAAGATGGTGTCGTCTCCTGTTTGGACTCCTGAAACGTGAATAAAACAGAAAGCCATTTCCTACAGTTTGTTGCTTATCGACATCATCAGTGAGTAAATTCTGTTAATATCCAACGTTTTCCACAACAGTATGTACAAAGAAAGAAAAAAATGTAAATATTCTTTAGTAGTCTTTGTGGAGTTTAACTCAACAAACACTTTAATCAGTGACTGTCATGTTAAATAAGGGAGAAATGGAGCCACAACCATTTTGATTCAAAGACAAATGAGTCAGATTTTGTGTTTTAATTGCTGAAAATTCAAGATTTTATAAGAATGGAGAGAAAAACAGAGAAAAGAAGACGCCTGTTGGAAAATATTAAACCTTTCATGTCAGTCTGAACTCCACTGTGGAGCTTTCTGCTGCATCAGGAAGCTGCAGAAGCCCAAAGTACCCAAGAAGCACCTGGACAGCAGGTCTATGATCTTCAAACTCCATCTGTTGGAGAGACCTGCAGCGTGATGTGGTCAGAAACCCAGTAAGTGGACTTTGAGTCGATGGGATGAAGTCATTGCTTAACTTTTCACCCGACGGTCTGCAGGCGAAGTCGTCGGTCTCTGAGCTGCAGATCTCTGCCTCCAGACTGCCCCTGTTTACCCATGATGCAAAGCTGCAGCTGGAGTGGAAGTCTGAGGGTTCAGGGGGGTCACCGACTGCGAGCTCGCTCTGTTTTCACAACTGCTGCTGATTATCAGGAGGCTGAATTGAGTATGTGAGGAGAATCGACAGAAAGCAGCCGTCAGCAGAGCAGAACCCAACGGCCACACTTTTATACCAGTGTTCTGTCTCTTTGTGGTTG